ATATACGAAGTCATAAAAGTTCCATATATTTATACTTTCAAAGTTTATAAGAAACACAAAATATAATATGTTTGATTGATATTTAATTCCACTAATCGAAAACAGCAATACACGAATACAAACTAAAAAACAGTATTGAAAAAGATAAAATTAAAGTAATATACAAATTAAACAAACTAAATAATATTACAGATGTTTAGATGTTATTTTGGTAAAACAGAATTATATTTCCTAGGTAATGCCGATATAACATTAGTATCAGTGGTCGTAGTTGTTTTTACGATTGATTTCGTGATAGATGTGCCTTTTCTTGTATACAAAAATATATTTAACCTTTCTACTGAGAAGCTGTGTTTTGCTCATCTAATCTATCAGGTTATAGGCCCAGATACGATACAAACGCGTAAAAATTTAAAATTTTGATCCAATTTTTCTGATTCTTCAAAGAATGTCAAAAAATTATTGGAGAGATACAATTGACAAATTACATTGTGAAAGTAACTGGACATCGTGAAAATTCGATGTGAATTTGAATTTGACTGTTCACAAGGTAATAAACATTGTTACTGGAGATTGGATTACGCTAAGAGATCTAAACGAAAAGGATGTTTATCCATTTTTGAAGAAACTGATGAAGTAGTACGTTACAATATTGGTTCAATCGTTTCTTCTACTGTGAAACAAAATATTCTAACTTGTCAAAGTGGGAAGGATATGTATGACGTGCTTTATTCCATCTTCGAGTAGGATAATGAGAGAATGTTAGATATGCTATATAGTCAACTATTTACTTACTGGAAGGTACCTGCTGATACCATTGCTATGCACGTTTCTAAGCCGCAGAAAATCTGGAAAGATTTACAAGATGTACTCAAGGCTGATAAATTACAACTACCTGAGTTTATGTTGCTAAATAGAGTACTTAATACGTTGCCTGCAGAATATTTAGAATTTAAGAATGCTTGGAAATCGACAACAACTGCAGAAAGAAGACTCATTAGGTTAACCGAACGGTTAGGACTACGTGTGCTACGTCCTGTTATACTGGCTAGCACTTGTGACGAAGACAGATAGCAAGATTTCTCAGAATGCAGATGGAGAAAAGGTAAACAAAAAGAAGTATCGGAGGAAGGTGTTATGGCTGTGGAGAAGAAGGTCATAATAAAGTGAAAATATGCGAAATCAGGACCGTCATCTAAAAGCTAAGAGAAGAAGCATTTTTGCAGCTTTTGATGCAAAGAAGAGTCTTGATTCAGATGCTCGTTCTCACACTAGATCGGTAAAAGGAATGCTGAATTGTAATGATGAAGAAAGGCATTACTGTGGCGAATAATGAAGTCATCAGATCTGAAGATAGAGGTAATGTAAAGGTAACTCTTGCGCATGATCTGGATAATATAAACATAAAAAATGTTGAATATATTCCTGAGTTGTCTGTAAATTTATTATCTGTTGGAAAAAATAATCATCAACCATTTTTCTGTAGTTGTTTCAGAAAAGAAACCAAAATTTATGATGCAAATAGTTTTTTTTTTGTAAAAGGTTAATTAGTAGCTACAGCAGTAAGGGATTGTAGCTTATAAGTTAGATATTAACGAAACTCATAGAGGCAAATTTTTTAATTCTGCAATAGAAATAGAGAATTTAAGGCATCGTAGATTAGAACATTTAAATGTGCAATATGTGGATATGGTAAAGATGCAGATGGACTACATTTTTCAGATCGTCGCATAAAACCATGCCCTTCTTTCGTAGAAGGTAAGCAAACTAGGTTGTCATTTTTAAAGGAAGCTAAAAGTAAAACCACTACCTTATTAGAATTGGTACATACTGATCTCTGTGGTCCAATGATTCAGGCTTCGTTTGCTAATTCCTGTTATATACTTGTTTTTATAGATGACTATCACGCATGACTTTTGTGTAGTTCTTAAAATCAAAGACAGTAGTTTTTCATTCGTTTAAAATTTTTATTAGTTACGGCAGAGAGCCAAACTAGTCAAAAAGATAGGTGTATTATTTAAAGTGATAATGGGATTTAATATATAAACCATTCTTTAGGCTCTTTTTTTTGGTCAACATGGCATGCGTCATGAATCGACAGTTCCTTATACCCCAGAGCAGAACGGTGTAGCAGAGAGTGATATTCGAACAAATGTGGATAGACAAAGGACGTACCATGATGTGAGATATTGGACTAGAGAAGTGTTTTTGAGCTGAAGCTGCAAATACAACAGGTTATTTAAAAAACCTTAGTCCTACGGCAGCTGGTCCGGAAAAGGTACCGATGGAGGTGTGAAAGTCAGTCACCTCAAGGTTTTTGGGTGTGTCGCCTACAAGCAGACACCCAAACAAAAAAGGAACAAACAAGTTTGACCGAAAAAGCAAACGTCACTTGTTCGTTGGTTATAGTGACACATCCAAGGCTCATAAACTTCTTGATCCTATATTTTCTAAACTCCAATGATTGTTGAAGGATTATGGCATATCAATTTGAAAGCCACACTCCCAATTGAATATTTAGATCTTATTTTATTGTTAGACGGTTGATTCTTTCGATATAAGGCATGTTAAATTGAACTTTATCTTTTTGTACTAATACTTTTATTGCTGAAGTTTACAAAAATCTGATTTTGTACATGGCATGGACACATTAACGTATTTACTAAAACATCTGTTTTTGTTTGTTAGAAAACTAATCACATACCCGTTTCATTTATAATTTAATTTAGTCGGCATGGCAGCGCATGAAGTCTTGAATAAAACCAGTTTAAAACGCTGTTGCTTCGGTGAAGTGAGAAAAAATTCTGTTTATACGCGAAGGTTCCAAATAGTTGATAGCGTCATTTTACGTAATCATTCATGCTCGGTAATTTTGACCGCTCATCGACGAGTCTGGACCCACGTGAGATTATCTAATGGTTTTTAAAGGCTAGTTTTATCGCAGTGAGAAAGGGTGACGTAATCATTTTGTTGGACAAAAGCCAGAGACGGCGCTAGGCATAATATTGAAGTCTTTCAACAATTTTAATGCTGTCTACATCTGAAAATCAAGTACAAATATTGAAAACCCGAATCTAAGAATATTATTAAATCATTAATAGATTTAAAAACTAATTCCTCGTTTTCTAATCATATTTTATGCAATAAACATAATTTTTCCTTCGCTTATAATGCTCCACCCTTTTTATCTTATGTTCTAAAGGAAGTATATTCAACTTGTATTACATTGGCTAACACGTTAACAACTCTAAAGTAATTTATGTATGTGACCAACTACAATATATAAATAACCGTATAGTTACTAGATTAACTTTTTATTGATTCCTTCATTTGCATTCCATACCTAATAAATTTCCTTATAAATCCTTATAAATCCTAATAAATCCTTATAGATCCTTATAAATCCCTATAAATCCTTATAAATCCTTATAAATCCTTATAAATCCTTATAAATCCTTATAAATCCTTATAAATCCTTATAAATCCTTATAAATCCTTATAAATCCTTATAAATCCTTATAAATCCCTATAAATCCTTATAAATCCTTATAAATCCTTATAAATCCTTATAAATCCTTATAAATCCTTATAAATCCTTATAAACCCTTATAAATCCTTATAAATCCTTAAAAATCCTTATAAATCCTTATAAATCCTTATAAATCCTTATAAATCCTTATAAATCCTTATAAATCCTTATAAATCCTTATAAATCCTTATAAATCCTTAGAAATCCTTATAAATCCTTATAAATCCTTATAAATCCTTATAAATCCTTATAAATCCTTATAAATCCTTATAAATCCTTATAAATCCTTATAAATCCTTATAAATCCTTATAAATCCTTATAAATCCTTATAAATCCTTATAAATCCTTATAAATCCTTATAAATCCTTATAAATCCTTATAAATCCTTATAAATCCTTATAAATCCTTATAAATCCTTATTAATCCTTATAAATCCTTATAAATCCTTATTAATCCTTATTAAACCTTATAAATCCTTATAAATCCTTATAAATCCTTATAAATCCCTATAAATCCCTATAAATCCTTATAAATCCTTATACATCCTTATAAATCCTTATCCTTATATATCCTTATAAATCTTTATAAATCCTTTTATTTTACAACTCAATTTAATTTTTTATATTAATAATTATATACCGTAACATAACCTCAACATTTATTGTTATGTCAAGTTAAACTCTTTTTTTTATTCTTTATTCCTTCTCCTGTTTTCTTGGCATTAACAGTCCCAACCGCAACTCTTTGACATCCTATCAAATATTATTTACCTTTACTTATTCAATTATTGTTATACTTGTATTCATACTTTTAAAATTTCAGAATATTAACCTTTACAAATTTATATTGTTCATATTTTAGTGTTATGTTAAATTACTTTTATCATTGACTAAACTATTTGACTTTTTTTATCTGTCGTAATATGTAAATTCCACCATTTTCTTATTATACCGCCGCGTGTAAGTCGAACAACAGAAGAATTGTACAGCTAACCCCTTTTTTGATAAGGTAATCCCTAAACACTACTCTACCTAGCCTTTTAGCACTGCGGATGGGCGGAGAAGTGATTAGTTTTAATAATAGGTATCATTAGAGACAGTGGGTCTTCAACTCACTTGTGGGATTTATCACTTGTTAAACTATGATGTTACCATAATGAGATGCAGGCAGAATAAATTCAAAGGTGTTTCCCCATCGTTGATCTTCACCTTCAAATTTTATACATTTTTATAACTTTTTTGTATAAACTGTTCATCTGGTTATAAGACAATTGGCAAACATTATAATTTGCTATCTAACTTTAAGTTATTGCAGATTATTCTACTTATTTTTCGTTGCCTGAAGATCACCATATGAGGTCGAAAGCGTGTGCAGGCCTAAAACCAAAAACTTGTTAAAGATTCTGTGGTTGACAATTTATGCCTTTTTGATATTTGTCGATAAACTTTAATAGTTTTCTCATTGTTTCAGGTACTGTAAACGCAAATGGTGAAACCAAACGTCAAAGAACATCATATACTAGGTACCAAACTCTGGAGTTGGAAAAAGAATTCCATTTTAACCGCTACCTGACGAGGCGAAGAAGAATCGAAATTGCGCACGCGCTGTGTTTGACAGAACGACAAATCAAAATTTGGTTCCAAAATCGGCGGATGAAATGGAAAAAAGAACACAAGATGGCCAGTATGAATATCGTTCCTTATCACATGTCCCCATACGGTCACCCTTATCAGTTTGACCTGCATCCTAGTCAGTTTGCCCATCTTGCAACTTAGGATGTTTTTTGAATGTGATTCTGTTGTTATATAGGTATTTTGTTTTATTTTTTGTTTTTAGTTATTATTTTGCTACAGAATTGAAACAAATTCGGAACCTTACAGGGAATTGATTTTTATTAGTCTTTAATTGTACATAGTAGTTTTCGCCACACAAGTTCTTGTAGTTCATCAACTTATTTTCATTACCATTTGCTTTGTTTTATTTTATTTTTAAGTGTTAAAGGATTAGAAATTGACAGTAAAAAAAATTGATTGCTTTGATGAATAAAATGAAAATTGTTTACCTCTTACAAAGGCTAAAACCTTTATGAATACAATTTCATACTGTTTAAACAAATAAATTTTGGACCTTAGCAAGACAAAAATTTAAGCAATTACTAGAGTAATATGAATTTTAGAATTTACAGTGTTGCATTTTTTCTTTGTATAGTAACTAATTATTGTATGTTTCGTTAAAGCAATTCTACGTCAAAGCATTTCTAATGAGTTTAAACTTCTTTTGGCTTAACTAAAAACTACTTTTTTTTGTTAACCTGTTTGAAATCCAATTTAGTAATTCAATTTCTAACCAAATTTATTTAGTTTTATAATTTTTATTCAAGCATGCCTTAGTTAAAATTCAATTTATTAAAGAAATACATCATTAGCGTTAAAACAAACTGTCTAACATAAGTTTTAAATATTTTAATTGTATATTTAGTTTTCTACAATGGATAAATATGAATTTTAATAAATAAAAAGTTTTTAATAAGTTTTAGAAATTGTTTTCAAACTCAGTTGCAAACAACTGTACATTTCCGGTTTACCAGCTGTTCTTTAATATTATCTTTTTATTTTTCCCACTTTTAACGTTTACTTAATTAACAATTAGAATTCTTACTTTTTTATTTTTTATGTATCCACAATATTTTCCTACAATTTATTAAATTCATTTAGTTGGTGTGAAACTTTAAAAATTTGAATTATAGTACAGTCATTTGGAGTTTTAAGAAAGAGTAATTTTATGGATTTCAATGTGCTCTTTCCGAATTTCAACTTTGACACCTCGTATCTTTGACGCTCGCGCCGCCATATTGAAAAAATGGCGCCTAAATGTAGTTTTTTGACAATATTCATTTTCCGACTCATTTCACGATAAAAACATTTATATACAAAATGAAATTAGAGAATATTTCTCACAATTTATGTAACAAGCTTTTTTTTTTCAATCAATAGTTTTGGTCTCAAGTAGCATTGTAGTGACAGAAACTTATATCGCCACTTCGATTAAGTGACTATTACGTTATAATCACTAAATGTACCCCATATAGTGAGAATAACTTAATTTTATATTTTCCTAGTTGTAGCCACGTTTATTTCACCACTGGGAATTACTTCAAAGTTTTATATTATTTAGTTTCCTCTGAAGGTGTTTGAAACGTTATAGTCACTAAGCAGGACCATTTTAAAGTTGCACAAACTTGAATGTGAAAAATAGTAGTTACGGCCACTAAATAATATCACTCAAATACCACCTAGAAGTGGCAGTAATCTTAAAGTGGGTTTGATAGTTTTAGTAACGTTTCAGGAACCATAAATAAATCTTTAAAGTGGCGGCACTTGATTCTATAACTGCAGTAGTTCTTGCCATGTTTTTGCCACGCTCTTAAGTGATTTCCACATTGCGTGGAACAGAAGCCACTTCAAAGTTAGTATTACCTTCAAAGTTCACAATGAAGTAACCGTTACCTATTAGTAGCCTGCTTTCACAACGTTTCTCGTTGCGAAAAACTTAAATGACCTGGCCAGAATAAGGTTCCTTCGTTTTCCCACATGTCGGGAACAACGCAGAAACAAACACCCCTCTTTTCTTGAGTCGATACAATTTTAAAACTCATATCTAAATCTAAGGTGTGCACACAAACACAATATAAAACATTAAATACATAAATTTAAGTGATCTGTGACATAAACAAATTTAACCGGTGAAATCTGCTGTAAATTTTGAGGGTATATGGAATAATACAACTAATACAGTATTGCGATATCATCAGACCGCAATTTCCCTGAGAAGATATAGAATACAAATTTTTCCTATAATCTTCTTGAATGTACACTATATTTATACAGGGTGTTCAGTTATTTTTAGAATGACACTTAACACGTTTATTAAAAGAGATAAAATAAATTGTTAAATGGGTGATTCTCGTGTAACTGTGATTTTTACAACTTACATTTTTCTGAAGTTAAAAATGTTTTAAAACGTATGTTTTACGCGTTTTTGTTTTCTATTTATGCACAGAATAAAGCCTGCAAAGTGGTTCTACTACAGCTACGACACAACGAAAACTGTGACAAAATTTAAAATTTTTAATGCCACGGTACTGACATTATTTCCACGGTACTGACATATCGCAAGATTGGTATAAAATTGCAATAAAATTTAATGCAATATGCATTGGATTGTAGTTATAAAAGGTAAATTTTATATTAGAAAATGAATTTTGATAGAAATTTATATATTTAATTTCAAAAATGAGAATCGGACATGCCACGGTACTGACATTTCGAGTATATTTATATGCAGCTTAAAAAAATTACGAAGGTTTATGATCTAATTCATAATGTCTAAATTTATAATATTAATAACTTTTTGATGAAGAAAACTTAAGCTAAACGATAAATAAAACACTGGACATAAAAAATCACAGTTATCCGAGAATAACCCAAATACATAAGTTATAAGGCTTTACTAGAAATTACTATTAAGATAAACAACACCGTAACCAGAAAGGTAACTAACAAGTATCAACTTTGTGAATTAAAATGGGAACCCTATATATTTTTTACTATGGCGATTCCAAATATACTGTACCTTAATATTTGATTAAGCCGTTTTACGCTATGCTGATGGATAACATATTTGTAATTTAAGGTAAATTTGATTTTTCCCCTGATATTGGCCTTTTTAACAACTCAAAAACTTTGAAATAAGTGGAGAAATGGCTGATCTGGCAACAATGTAAATAATTAACTTTATGGTGGCAAACACTAGGTGGCTGTCACGTAACCGCCACTTTAAAGTGGTGAAAAATATTTTGGATTAGTTCCAGCTGCCACTTATTTGATGAAAGTAACTAAGTAAGTGGCATATTTTTAGTTTCTGCAACTTTAAAGTTTTTTTTCCTGAAGCAGACATATTTGTTACCATTTTTAAGATCGCCATTATGAGAAAATATAAAGGGGCTATTTAAAAATTTTTTTTCGTCCATATAGCTTCAATGCAATAAAATTCAAATATATTTAATGATTTTAATAAACCAAGATTGATAAAAAATACTGTTTAAGGCATCTAAATAAATAATTTGGAAGATAAAAATTTACAGATTTTAACTTTTCAATTAAATATAGAGTATTCCAATGGCGCGTGCCCATATTTCAAGATACAATATCTATATGTGACAGTAAACTTCCAATCGTTCCAACTTTTTGCCTATCAACATTCCTGAATCACGTGGTGTTAACGTGATTATATAAGTTCCGGAAACGTGGCTGAAACGTGGTTGCCACCAAGAAAATGTTCCCCATTTTGGTTACCGCCACGTGGTAGAACCGTGTCTATTACGCGGCAGAAACTTTGGAAATACACTTTAAAGTTTCTATAGTCGTGGTAGCCACGTTCCGCCCACGAAAAATGCTACTTGTGGTGTACGTGCGCCGCAAAGTGTAATTCAAATAACGCATTTTGACAAAAACCTCATTGCCACACCACCTTGAGGTACAGTAAGCGGCGCGTTTTTTTTATAGTGGCATCCCCAGTAGGCCTAATCCACATGCAATTCACTAGCGCATTCTCCTTCGTTTAACTATTCTTGAGGAACCAGGTGTTCTGCCCTGTTAAGCATAAAAATCTTATCCGACAAATCCAAGATTCTCAGTAACTACGCAATTAGTAAAATTGCAAATGCCGCAAGTTTGTAATTCCTTAAGAATTTTGTTTTTTCTAAAAATTACTTTAGTTTTCTATTCAAAATTTCGGAAACTTGAACTTAATTACAAATGTGACTTTTGAGAGATACGACATTTTTGCCTAATATCATTCACTCTAAGAAAATTAATATGAAAAGAGGTATCTACATAAAAACGTTTATATTCTTTATTTTGAACATATTAATACAGGGTGTTCCATCTCAGACGAGCCACCCCGTATATTTCTTATTCCATAGTAATTGGAAAAATTTCCCGAAACACATCGGATGATTTTATTTGGAGGACATCTTTTGACGTATATTTGAAGCTTGAACGAGCAACCCCCTATGAGGGGGCGCTCCAACCCCTCAAAATTGAATAGGGAAGAGGGGTTAAGTGATACTTCATTTGTAAGTTCTTGGAAGCCAATTTACAACGGTGTATGAAAAAAATCACATTCTTAAAAAAAATTAATTATTTTATCATGTTTGCAATCAAAAAAATCAAAACTGCGTTTTTAAATCGAATGTTAAAATTGTCCTCCATTGACTTTCATACAATAATACAATCTTGACTGAAAACCATCTCTAACATGGTCCAGCATAATTGGAGTTATTTGACGACACTCATTTACAATTCGTTGGCGTAGTTCGTCCAAATTTTCAGGCACAAAAATCTTGGACTTAAGATGTCCCCACAAGAAGAAGTCCAGAGGGTTCAGGTCAAGAGAGCGAGCAGGCCACTTCATAGAACCTCTTCCTTCAATCCAACGACCAGGGTATTGTAAATTGAGGTATTGGCGAACTGGTGCGGCGTAGTAAGGAGGAGCTCCGTCTTGTTGGAAATGCAATTGTTGTTCAATTAGTAGAGGATCGTTTTCTAATTTTTCTGTTATTAACGGATCAATTGCATTTTCCAGTATTTCAAGATAAATTTCGCCATTTAAATTACCAGGAATAAACAGAGGTCTAATTAGGTGGTCTCCCAAAATTCCTACCCAAACGTTTAGCTTTTCCGGATATTGAATGTGAGCTTCTCGAAATACATGAGGATTTTTATCGCTTAAAATTCTACAGTTATGCCGGTTAATCTCTCCATTAAGTGAAAAAGTGCATTCGTCAGAAAAGCAAACGTTGTACAAGAAATTTATCCCCCAAAGTAAATCATCCGACGTGTTTCGGGAAATTTTTTCAAATACTATGGGATAAGAAATAAACGGGGTGGCTCGTCTGAGATGGAACACCCTGTATAATTAAGTACACAGATATACGAAAACCTTATTTGTCCAGGCATTTCGGGGTGGCTCGTCTGAGATGGAACACCCTGTATAATTAAGTACACAGATATACGAAAACCTTATTTCTCCAGGCATTTCGGTCTTGCTAGGCTTCATCACTGGAATCTTCGTTTGACATTGCAGCAGTTTCAGAAGATGTAGGTAGTTTTTTCCAAAACTCTTTTTTATTTTAAGGTATGTTTAGGCAAAGTTTATCCAAAATTACTGTTTTTCTTTCTAGAGTTCACAACTTGCTAAATCATGATAATTACTATTGGTAAGATTTTCAAATTTAAATTGATTTATACATTCATTTTTATTAGTATAACCGACTGTTTCCATATATGACTTGGTGGATATGCTTGTTTGTAAGTACTGATGATGGCACAATGCCGAAAGCACTTTGAATTTATTAATTAAAAAGTTTTGCACGAAATACAAGTCTTTCCTTTTGAATGGAAATAGGTTAAAGTTAAAACTAAATAATTAATATACAATATAAAACTGTTAAATACATAGACAGTTTTTAAGCTATTAAATGAGAGTATTATAAATATGAAAGCTCTGCTTACAGCAATATGTAAATGATTATAGCAGTTTTGTTTTAGATAATCCTAAATTTTCTGATGTACTTTTTTTGATGATGTATTTCTCTAATAAATCGAATTTGAGCTCTTTACCACCCCTTCCATCCCTGTGAAACCGCCAAAACTGCAATCACTTCACACTGGTCTCGTGTTCCAGATTTCCACCTGGCTTCCCTCCAGGACGAAGGATATGCATTCCACCAGGCCATGGGGATGGGGGGTATGGGAGGTATGCAGCGTGGTCTCTACGCTTGCGGCAGTCCCTACAGCTAGCCCTGGGCCACCTATAATGGAGACTGCGGCCCTTCGTAGGGCGAAATCGGATCTTGGGGCAGTCTTCGAGTCGTGGTAACACTGTGGATCACGTTATGGAGTAACCGGGACAGGTCTGTTAAAGTGAGAAAAAATATTGTTGTTGTTTTAAGAACAAATTTTAATATGTTCTTAAAGATGAAATATTGTTGTCTATTGAAATTTTATGTATATCTAATATTTGTAGGTTTTCTTTATTCATTTAACTAATTTTATATGCAATGCGAGAAACGCTGTTAGCCTTATAATTTAATTTTTAGTGAGAATATATCTGTCAGATTATCTATTACTTAATTTTTTTGTGCAAAAAGCAAAGCTAAAGTATGGCTGTGTAAATTTTAAGATGTATTACGTCGACTAAATGTGTTAACCTGCTAACTCACATGAAGCCCAACTTTGAGGATACAGAAAAAACTATCTTGAATAATACAAAAGTGTGCATAGAACGACATATTTAAACAAAATGATTCTCAGTATTTTGCAAACTGTTTTTTTAATAAATCGTATGTAAAAAAAATAATTTTATTTCTACATCCATAAAATGGAGTTAGCAGTTTTGAAAATTCTCTTTACGAATAAAAATTGCTAAGATTGAAGTATTTTTTATTAACTTGAATTGCAATGACATGACGAGAAACTAGGCATTTTAAAAACAAAAGTAAACTTAAAATAAAATAATGTTATAAAAACATATAATAATTTTTTGTTATGTAATTATTCATGTGGAAAATCATTGTAGAAGCCATGATAATCGGCTGGTAAAGTTAATTTAAGATCTTGAAGATCAGAATATTTTCGAGCTGAGATTTAAATTTTCTTTTGATGAAGACTATCCGGTTCAGCCCATGTTTTTGTACTGTGTTTTTGTCGTCTTCGCTGAGGAAGAATCGTGCATTCTTCCGACAATCGCAGTTTGTAAAATAGTTCACCCTCGGGTTTATACTATAAACCACGAATGCCATTAACCTAAAATAAAAAAATATTTTATTTAAGGAACTAATAAAAGAATAAACAACATTAGGAATAATATTTACCTTAGCATCTCCAGGCTTTCTCCCAGGTCTAATACTTTTTACCATTTCAATATTTTTAAACGACTCGAAGAAAGTGTGGTCCAAATATTTTACATAATACGGTCTAGGATTCATTCTTGCTTTTTTGCTGTGAAATATGTATTCGGCTGGAACATTAATGTTTCTTGACTTCACACGACGTTCTATTGTGGAATGCATTGAATCCACTGGCATATGGGTGTGTTCCACTTCAAGATACTTATGTTTAATTGTTATTTAATATTGTTTTGTCAAATTAATAACAACATTAGCCAGCACGCTATTACGATTTTGCTATGCGCGGTCATCATTCCAAAAAACGATCTTTCTATTTTCTTCATCAATGAATGGAATAACGTGAGTTTCAATGAAAAAATGGAAGCAAGATGAAAATTCTTCTACATTCAGCCCCCCTTCTCCCTCGTGCCATAGATAACAATATCCATCCTTATTATTAATGTCAAAATAACACAAATTATGCATGCACAATTTCGCCTTATAATAAAGGCCGGTAATGTTAAATTTTGGTGATAATAAAACAGCTTGAAAATCGACAGTATAGACAAATTTTTCATTTTTTTTATCTTTTTCTATTTCGCTTTTAGCTTCCCTTTTTCTTGTCATATGGTTGTTATAGTCTTCCTCTGTGATGTAGCCTTCCTTGAATTTATTACAAATTTCGCATTCATCCTTTTTTGGCATGAATAATGACATATTTTTTGACTCAGATGCTTCTTTGAATGTAGTGCTGCTTAAAGGATGAATATTTTTCAGTACACACCATTCCTTTTTGTAGAATTTGTAAAATTCTTCTTTTGAGGTCCACTCGGGTGATAGGTAATTTTTGCTTGAAGAGGATCTGCAGTAATGGGTGTCACGACAAAAGGACGCCGAAAAAAGGACGCGGAAAAAAGGACGCGGAAAAAAGGACGCGGAAAAAAGGACGCGGGAAATAAGGACGCGGGGAAAAAAGGACGTGGGGAAAAGGACGCAGGGAAAAGGACGCAAGACAAAAGGACGCTGAGCAAAAGAAATCCCTACAATTTTGCAAATGTTATAAGCATTTTATTTCTACAAAAAAATGTCATTTTTGTCTTAAATAAATAAATATTTACTTTAGACCCCATGTTTTAGGTATTCCTGAATTATTTAATGTGGCAGGGGTAGAAAGGATTACTTTTTAAAAATATTTTAAAAATCTATAAGCTATAGTAAAAGAAAGAAAGCACTCGTTAATAATCATTTATATCTGACAGCATTGTTTATGGCAAAATATGGTAATTTGTAATTAAAAGATTACATTTAACGGCAAACAGAAATAGGGAAATTATAAATTTAAAGTGAAAATAAAATCAATTAAAGGGATTTAGAATATTTGACAGGCATTGCTCACAATTTTCAGTTGCAAACTTTTTTTTAACAACCCAAATGTCCAACTACAAACATTCAAATAACGGCATTTAAATAAAAAACTAACAGGCGTATTACTAAACTACTCAATTTAATAAATAGGAAAACTACAATTGTTTTGCAAAACCAAGTTTGCATTGTCATTAAAATTAATTGTTAATGTCAATTAAAATTAACTATTTATAGTAATTCAATAAAATTATGCGTCCTTTTTTCCCCACGTCCTTTTTTCCGCGTCTTTTTGTCGTATATCCGCAGTAATGATATTCCATTCTTGGTAATGAATTAAGAAACTTTTGTATGCTGTTGTTCTCTGTTTCAAAAGGATTCTTTTTATTTTGTTTTTCATTTCTATATACAGTTGATTTTTTTTAGAGTGTTTTTCTACATCATCAGCTTTTTCGTAATTTGAAAACGTATTTTTTCAATTTTGAATACTCCAACAACCCAAACCTACTGTGTTTAAGTACATTGTTCTACAAACTCTTATTTCCTGTTTGCCTGTTTTTAAATAGTACTTAAAGATTTCTCCTTGATTGTTCTGGTACTTTTCTATCTCTTGCCCTTTTAATAAATTCACTCTTCACAGTACTGTCTAAAAATACATTTTTTTCTCCCCAACATAGGCTTCAAAAATATTCGAATGTCTTTTCTTTGTTGTTCTGTTATTTGACTGCATTTTAAAGTTCCATTTTTAACTCTTCACTGGCATCTTCCTTTGATCCCTCTTGGCTCTCTTTCTATGTCGTAAGACCACTTTCCGTTCACTTTAGTTCTACCAAAGTATTGCTTTCCTTTCTCTCGTCTATTTCTATTCTTCTCTGAAAACCACGTTGCTTTATCCACTTTAAATCTTTTTCGTCGCGTCTTTGTTTTTATTGGCATTTCATCAGAACTACTATCAGTCTCTGGATATGGCACTAAATTATAGTCACTATCATCCGATATGTCATATTCTAATGTACTTTCTTTTGTTTTAAACCTGCTTGTTCCTGCTATGTTTTTCTTTGTATATGACTTTATTTATTTCATGCTTGCCGGTCCCTTGTTTTTTTGCCTTTATCTGTAATATCAGCTACTTCATGATGTCCTGCCTCTTCCATTTTAGTATTGTATCATTTACATCTATGGTTTCCAATATTTCTGATTCCATAACATCATAATAATTTTCATTTAATGGAGGTGTTGTAATCTTGTCTTCAGAAAATGACCATTGGTAATCAATAATTTCAATGTTAAAATTTTCAATGATATGAAAATTATTTACGGATACAATATTGTTAGTATCTTCAATTGAGTTATTATTACATACAGCTTGCCTAGTTGCTAATTTTAAAATGTCCTCTGTTCGTTTTGACATAATATCTGTAAAATAAAATAGCTAGCACACTATTCAAGGAAAAGAAATAATAACAAATAGTTTTTGTATGCCTCATTGTACTAAATTATCATTGTACTGAAATATCTAAACGAAAATTGATATAAAATTAATTTGATCCTATATTTACATGAAGCATCCAACTTCTTAAACTAGTTAGGTAGACTACTTTTCAATGGACTCTATACAAGTGATTTTTTACAAAATAAAAGCAATTTATTTATTTTTATTTATTCATGGATAGTAAAAAAACAAGGAAACATGCTGCTATATCCAAACCTTCACTTGCACTTAGGGCACACGATAAGCCGCTAACTCCAAAATTAGGTTAATTGGATTATTTTTTCTTAAAATCGTCAATTTTATTAAAATACATTATGAAATATTATTAATATTAATGTTATTACCTTTTATAATAAAACAATACAGAAAAACAAAAATACTGGCACTAAATAGGAAAAAACTGAAAACTTTGAGAGTCAAAATAACACAATTAGCTTTTTACACAGAATAGCGAATTAGCTGGTTTATTGGTCGATGCAAGGCGCCATCTAGTTGACAGATATCGAAAAATCTCAAAATCGTAAAATATGGAGTTAGCAGGTTAACACATGTAGGCGACGATTAACTTTTCGATAGACTTAATGAGAATCCTCCAGTGGTAAAGTAATGTTGCCCAAAGGAGTCCCTAAATTTATCAACTATGAATGCTGGTGGACTGAGTCAGGTTCTGAATTTTGTAGGAGTACAAAATCATATAATTTGGCCCATTTAATATTATATTTTTAATTTTTGAAAACACAATTGAATGCAACTATTTTTATTGCAACTGGAGACATGTTTGTTAATTTTTTTTATATAAAAATTAATATAAGGTTTCTTAGCTAGCTTACTACTCAAAAGCAGTTGATAACGTCGCTAAAAGTTGTCAGTTGTTAATGTTTTATGACAGACTCAAGGTACCTGAGAAACCAATTGATACATAATTTGTAATTGAAAACATTTTATTACTGTGAGCCAAATTTTTAATGATATGTTTTCTCGCATTGCAAGTTACTGAAATGTTCCTGAAATTATAATTATTTTGCTGCAGGTCTAAAAATGTATAACAATAACAATATTTTTTTCTATACTCTTTGGATAATTACTGGTGACACTTCACTGTTTGAAAAATGTGAATCATTGTGAAGTACCATGATTAATTCATTGTTTTGTGCCAATGAACGTTCAGACGTGTTGGTTACTATTA